GGGCGCTCTACTGGACGGAGGGCACAAATACTGGACTGTCCGGTAGAAAACCGGACACCTGGGAACCCTAAGCACTGGCTGTTGGGAATCTGGAAGCATAGGAACCAGGAAAGAGGGGGAGGAGATGGGCCAGGCCTGAGGGAGAGCTATAGAGGGGAGCAGCAGCAGCTTTGGAAAGAGGTTTCCCCTTTGGGAAATAAAGGCCTGTTGCCGTTTGTTACTACCTTGCTTGCATGATACAACACAGACCTCATCAGTTAACCAGTTAACCAATATGTTTAAACAGTTTAGTAACTATCCCGCTCCCCCAGGTTCTGGTGTGCAGCCTCCAACTGATTTACTGTGGGCGCGTGGCCCCCGAGCCAAAAAAGGTTCCCCAGCCCGTAGGCCTGATAAGCCTCTTTCTGTGCAAGGTTTTAGGCTCATTCCTCTTCTCACGTTTTGTGACTTTTGTTGTGTCTGTTCCCCGCACTGGGTAGGACTGACATGGGGCCACATCACAGGGCCTTAGGGGCAGTGTTCCCTGTAAGATTTTATAGCATGAAAAAGGTTGCGAATCCTCAGTTTGTCAGGTGTCGCAAACAGTGTCTGGCCGGCCGGGATCTGCTCAAAGTGCTTGTCTCAGGCTCCGTGCAAACGTCAGCAGGCAAATGTTCACGGGTTGAAGATTTTCCTTCCCGTTCATAGGGGGGACGGAGTGACTTAAAAGAAAAGACAGCTGAAATTCTAGGGAATCAGATGGGCCTGTGAGTGAGGAAACCGTACAGCCCGCTGCTCTGTAAGTCAGTAAAGAACCACTATCAATGCTCCCTCTAAGTTGGTATGCGCATGTGCAGAATGAATATTATGTGCATCACTATGGAGCGGGCGTGTGACGTGGTGTGGCGTGGCACAGCACAAAACAACACAGCACAGCACAGGATAAAATGGTGTCTCTGGCCTTTGTTTGTCCGAGGCTGGAGATGGATGGTAGGAGACAAATCGCTTGATCATTGTCTTCGGCCCACTGGCGCTGGCCACTGTCGGCAGACAGGCTACTGGGCTAGATGGACCTTTGGTCTGACCTAGTACTGCCATTCTTATGTGCTTATGTTCTTATGACTCACTGACTTTTCAAGGTCCTTTCCAGTTCCAGGAGATAGGTATATCTCCATTATTTTTTCTTTTTTTTTCTTATCACCTCCATAGTGGTGCACTATTAATACGGCACCTGGACAATCTGGGTCAAGGGTGGGGCCAAGGGATTCAGAGGGTGAGAGGGATGAAGGCTGGGGGTGCAGGCTCAGGTGTGGGGCTGGAGATGAGACATTTGGGGTGCAGGAGGGGACTTCAGGTTGAGGCCAAGGAGTCTGGAGGGCGGGAGTGAGCTTAGGGCAGGAGATTGGGGGTGGGGGGGGGGGATCTGAGCAGGTGTTAGGGTGCTTAGAGATGGGGTGTGGGGTCTAGGAAGGAGGAAGGTGGTGGACTGGAACTCTGGTTGGGAAGCACGGTTGTAAATTACACGCCTTCTCCTCTCTTTGTGCAGGATACATCTCGGCCTTGTCTCTACCACGCCACGCAGCGGTCTGTGCACTCTTTGGCTTCGGAAAGCCGCCCTTGCCAGTCTCTTTTAAACCGAACACCAGCGCCGATGCCGCTTTTGATGTTTCTCTCTCTTCGTTCAGCTCTCAAGCCATCCAAGTATTCAATCACTTCTCACAGCTGGAAGCCGGGGGATGCGGAGTGGAATTTTGTACGAGAAGGAAGCCAGCTACTTTTTGGTCCTTTATTAGAGATCGATTTCAATGTAGGCCCCCAAACGCACACATTACAACAAAGGCACTGATATGGCTGGCGTTGCTTTCCTTTCCTTTCCTTATCACATCCTTGGTGCCTGGGGCGTGGGAATTGATGGGATGTGCACGTACCATTGTGCCTTCCTGAATCTTCACTTCTTGTGTTATTTC